CGATCTGCTGCATCCTACGGTTCAGGTGCACCGGAATCTCGAAGAGTCACTAGAGCATGACTGAGCAGCAACGGGTGCATGCTTCACCTCGCCAAACCAACCAAACAGGTTCCCCCCCAGTTGCATTAGTCTGCTGGGCACTGGTGACCCCGGGGAGAAGCAAAGCACCTCCAGTATATTTTATTCTCCTGCAAGAGAGAGTCAGGACTTTCATCCAGTTAGGTCGGCCGGGTGACTTACCCCCCGAGTGACGAGTCCCCCCGACCTACAGGATCCCCAATTCCCACACTCGAAAGATCGTCTTCCAGCCATGGCTGCCTCTCTGACCACTCCCGTAGGTGGTGGACTCGTAGTTGCTTCATCCTCCGCCAGCGAGCTTCATGGCGCATCCATTCCATTAACTATCAAGTGCCCACCTTCCACTTCCCAAGTGTGCAAGCAATGTGCTGTCTGTGCTCTTCGCTCACCAAAGTCTCCCCATGCTAGTTACTTCCGCAGAAAGCAGGAACGTCCAGAGCCAGTAAAAGCAGTCACTACCCTTCCTAGTCCGCTGGCTACTAGCATTTCTCCCCTTTCGTCAGTCTCGGACCTTCTGATGCTTGAAAATTCGTTATACGGGAGAGAATTCCTTTTGGACTGCGAGTTTCCGGAAGGAGTAGACGAAGCTGCCCTTACAAAGGACCTGAGTGAAGAGGAGACTGAACGCTCGTTGCTGGAATCACAGTGGGAGCTTCCTTCAAAGGACCCCGAGCTCTCTGAAAATGTCTCTGAGCCACTCCAGGCCAGCAGTTCCAGGAAGGCTAGCAGAAACATTGTTGTTAACAAAAGCATGTCTGCGAGGAAGCGCCGTATGCAGGCCAGACGCAACCGAGATTTGCAGGATCAGACTGCCGATGCGAATGTTTTCCGTGTGGGCCTAGAAAGCAAAGGCAAGGGTGACGTTAGCGAGAAGGAGTCATCGAGCGACTTTCTTGCAACTTTTCTTACCGAAATTGGGAAGGCCAAGCTGCTGACCAGGGAAGAAGAGATTGAGCTGTCCAGGAGAGTCAAGAAGTCTGTGGAGCTCCAAAGTCTACGAGCCAGGTAGGGCTCGATATCGCTTCTGTCCTCGTTTCTTCTGTCCCTCTTCCGCCTCGTTGTGAACGTATTTCCTTTCAATGTTTCAGGGTGTCTGAGGAGCTTGGTCGAGAGGCCACCCACTCCGAGTGGGCGAAGGCGCAAGGCTGCTCGGTATACTCGCTCAGGAGGAAGCTGAGGGAGGGGGAGCTGGCCAGGCATAAGTTGCTTGCGACAAACTTACGTCTGGTAGTTTCCGTGGCGAAGAAGTACATAAGATGTGGGGTTGAGCTCTCCGATCTGGTTGCGGTAGGTGACTGCATGTTACGTCTGCTCGTTCATTCGAGTAAGAAGTGTGTCTCAGTTCAATTACGTTGGCCGGTTTGCTTTTCAGGCTGGAACGATGGGCCTCTCTAAAGGTGTCGAGAAGTTCGACCCGAACAGAGGGTACAAGCTCTCCACTTACGTTCACTGGTGGATCCGACAGGTAGGAGCTGTTATACCATCGCGCACCTGTTGGTATTTGTTGAGTTGCTGCTGCCAGCGTTTGCTGACTTCATCCTTTCCCACTCTGTCTTCCAGGCGGTAACACGGGCTGTTGCCGACCACTCCCGCACGATCAGGCTGCCTGTCCATGTGCACGAGACCCTCGGAAGATTGCGAAGGGCGAAGGCACAGCTCGCGAGCGAAGGGGAACTAGCGAGCGTCAAGGTGAGTGATGTACCGCCAAATTAGTTGCGAACCACTCGAGGCCAACCTGGGACTGATCTGAATGCGTCCGCCTGTTTGCAGAATCTCGCTAACACCTTGGGATTGTCAGAGCGGAAAATTGACAACGTCCTCAAGGTCAGTGTTGACATCTTTTTTATCGTTGCGCATTTCGTCTTGTATATGGCTGACATGATCGAACGACTGATCGTTTTGTTTGTATATTGCAGCTCAAGTACAAGACAAGGTCCATGAACGAAGAAGTATCGCCAAACAACCGCATGGAAGAGGGCTCGACAATGGACAACGTGAGTATTTGTGCATTTTGGAGTTCGGATGGTCCTACTTCGCCATGCCCTTCTTATATAACCTTCGCCTCTGTTTTCCAGTTCATTGCAGATCCAGATGCGGAAACTCGCCCCTGGAAGGAGCTGGAAGCGGATTTCCTGCAGGTAAGTCTTTATCGTCTGCATCTTCCTGTCGAGGTTGTGTCGGGACTTGGTTTCTCATGTGATGCGCTCTGTCTTCAGGCCAATGTCAAGAATGTGCTGCTTGATCAGCTTGATCCTCGAGAACGGGACATCATCCGGCTAAGATTCGGATTCGGAAGGACTGATGGAAGGACAATGACTCTTGATGTGATTAGCCAACGGTAAGTATTGACTTCTTCAGCCTCCTGTATCTACTCTGTACAAGCTGCTCACTAAACGTCTTTCTCATTGCAGATATGGAGTTTCTAGAGAGAGGATCAGACAGCTTGAAACAGTGGCTGTGCGCAAGCTGAAGCTTCTCAGCCAGGGCAAAGAGTTGCACAGGTATTGCTACTAGCAGTGACACGCTGCGCGTAGTAGCACACTGTTGATATTATAAATGCCAGCAGGAGGCACGGAGGACTGGAGCTTGTAGATCCCCCAACGTGGAGTGGGATGATGCTTTGCAGTAGCTGTGGCCAGAGGACTGGTGGAGATGTGCTATGCAGTAACTGTACAGGGAAGTTTCTATCATCAACAGAATGTTGAATGAACTTGCAGTGGCCTCCGCCTTCTAGTGTCATAATTGAAGTAAAAGCTTAGCTTGGAGGAGAAATTAGAGTGGAGATGGATTAAGAAAACAAACAAATATGTTAGTAGATGAGGAAACAGATAAATATTTAAAATTTCCTGCTACACGTCAAATAATTCAATTCAAATAAGTGAGTGCACAATAATCGAGCTGGGTGCGCCAACTGCGGCATATGCTTGAAAATTCACTCGTGTCGCTTCTCACGTGTGGTTCTCAACATGATCGCAAGGCGCGTTGTCGATCTCGATCGGACGATGACATCACCTTATCAGCTTCTAGCTTCGGCCATCCGACGGTCCATTCTCTTTCCCTGGCATTTGAGCGCGCTCTTCGATTGCACCACCAATTTCTGGAAGACATTGGTCGCTTCCAGCGCCCACTCCACGAATCGCGGCAGTGGCGACATTTCTCGCCCCATCCCAAGGCCCCGGTTCGAAGTTCCGACCAAATTCATCGTAGCATATCCATCCACTCGGGTTTGGTGAAGTAGGGTAGGAGGGGCATTGAGGCGCGATAAGACAGTTCCACGCATGACCCTGATTCACCAACACAACAGCTCTGACTCGACAGACCGTAAACGAGCGACGACTGGGACCAGCGGATTACTTATCAAGTTTGCTAGTTCTGCATTGATACGGCTAAGCTCGTAAAGTGTCGGAGGCGGCACGTTCGAGATCGAAGACGTATCCACAATCACCTTCTGGAAGACTCTCGAATTTTATATTGCGCAGCAAGCGAAGTGCTATAAGCACCGGCCATTATTTACGAGCACAATGGGCAGCGTTGGGAGGGTGTCCGCGTTCTGTCTGCTTGTTGCGCTGGCGTTACCTGCGGTGCTGGCGGAGGGAGGAGCGGAGGGCGGGAGGCGGCTATCGCCGGCGGTCGGGAAGACCGCGGACGCCGGGGCGATCAGCAATAAAACGACAGAGTCAGCGGACGAATCGAGGGCGGTCGAGGAGGCGAGGGCGATGACGGCGCTGCTCGTGAAGGCGCCTCGGACAGCCATGGCTAACGCGCCCTTCCTCCAAGCCCTCTGTCCGTATCTCCCCGCGAACAGACTCTTCGCTGCGTGTCCGCCTCGCCTTGCGCTCCGCCGCTTGCTCGATTTCTAATGAAAACGTTTCGTTTCTTCGCCTCCACTGCCATTGCTTGACCCGCACCGCGCATGCCCTCCCGCGCCTATTGCGCTCCCTCGTCCGCGTTCCACGACGATCATCCGCAGATCTCTGCCCGCGCTCATTCCCCCCATCAGCATTCTGTTCCGCTCGCCATCCACTTCACTCTCAGATTTGACCGTTCCTAACCCTCCCCACTTCCCTCACCCCTCTCTCCTCTTCCACCCCTCCTCACCTCCTCTCCTTCCGGCCCCGTCCCGCTGTCCGCCCATCAGTCGACGCGCGGAGAGGAGGCTCCGCGACGCTTTTCCTTCCGCTGAGCGGCTTCCGCGTGCTGGCGGACGCCGTGGGCTACGACTACCCGCGCTTCAACCGCATCCTCAAGTACCACCTTATACCCAACGCGCGCTACACTCTAGCGGATCTGAAGGCGCTGCGGGAAGACAGCCTGCTGCCGACCGCCGAGGGCAGCAAGTTGAAGGTGTTTTCGAGCCGCGGCTCCAAGATCGTGTGGCTGCAGGGGCGCTCGGTTATCCCCGCGGCGGTGACTATACCGAACTTGTTTGTAGGAGAACGCCTCATTGTGCACGGGCTGAGCCAAAGACTCATACCGCCCTCGTTTTAGTCACTGCGCTCACCAACCCCTCGTTTATGAGCCCAGCGTTTGTTTTTCTTGTGAAGCATGCGTGTACTGTATTGTTAGCGGTTGTCCCCATTAGCTGTGAGCACAGGCCCATTGCCTGTAGTGCAGTGCAGACCTCCACTGCACAGTAGCATCCCTCGAGAGTTCCTGCCTTGTGCGCGTGGGGCTCTCGGCTGGGGGTTGCTGACTGCTGTCGTTCCCTCCTCTTTGCTCCTCTGTGAGCGGCCCTAGGATAAGATGTAGTAGCTGACATGACAAATAATGATGTAGAGCTGCCTTTATTGTGCAACAAACTACAGCTGACAGCCAAGGGTGCCAGAATAAAGCAAAATGGGGCTCATTAACCCAGTGGCCTACCAAGGATTAAACCCTATCAACGACATCAACCTGAGCTCTTTGCTTCTGATTCTGTCACCTCACACCCCCTTCACACAAGACCCTGCCCCAGCAGACACGTCACTAACTCCACTCAATGCCGCCCCCACTCCTCCCCGTCCCCCATCCCCACCAACCCCCCATCCTGCCCCATCACCCCTCACCCTGCTCGCCCCTTCCTGCAAACTGCCATCCGACACGCTTGAATCGGGGAGGCTTAAAACGGGTACATCCCCCCAGCGCTTGGTGGAGCTGAGGCGGCGCCGAGCCCAGTGGCACTGGATGGACTGTGCCGCCCGGGACATGGGCCGCCGCACCTCCTCCCAATCCACGGTCGCCACACGCGACAGCAGCTGCACCACCCCCTCCTGCTCCTTCACCCCCTGCCCACCACTGCCGCCACTGCCAAAATTGCCGCTGCTGCCACTGCGCCCTCTGTGCGGTGAGTGCGCTGCTCCCTGTGACTGCGTCTGCAGTGCTGCTGCCAGCACCCTGCCACTGAGGGTGCGGTCGAGCGGAGGGCGGGTGGGGTCGCGAGAGCGAGCGAGAGAGAGGCTGCTGCAGCTCAGAGCCCGCCCTGGCAGGTGAGACGGCATGGCGGCAGCAGCGTTAATGCTAGCACCAGTGGCGGCAACAGCAGTGGCACCAGCAGCGGTGGTACCAGCAGAGACAGAAGAGCTGGCCTTGCTGCTCTCTGGGCGGCGGTGTGCCGCCTGACATGCTGCCGCCCAGCTGCTTTGGCGGATGTCGAGAGGGAGTGAGGGAGAGGCGAGAGGAGGCGCGGAGGAGGCAAGGGGGTGAGGGCTGGTCTCAGCAGCAGCAGCAGCAGCAAGTGGAAGCGATGTGGCAGCGGTGGCAGCTTGGACGGCAGTGGGTGTGGTAGCAACAGCAGGGGTGGCAGTAGCAATGCTACCAACAGCGAGAGAAGCAGCAGCAGGTAAAGGCGCAGTGGCAGGCACGGTGAGATGAGGGGGCTGGAGACTTGCACAACTGCCGCCAACGCTGCCACCGCTGCTGGGGGGTGGAGAGGCGGCAGCAGCAGGCAGGCAGGCGAGAGGGGCGGTGAGTGCGGGAGGTTGAGGAGGTGCAATGGCAGCAAGGGGAGCAGTGGTGGGTGGCGTGGGGGAGAGGCAGGCCGCTGTGCATTCGCGCACCACCGAAGCCAGGTCCCACTCCCTTCTCGCCCCCTCGCCCCCGTCCTCCATTTCACCAGCACCCCCCATAACTCCATTCACACCGCACACCACCACGTCCAGCTCCTCCCACACTCCTCCTCCTCCCTCCTCACCTTCCATCCCCTCCAGGCCACTGGCGTTCATGGTGTGAGGCGAGTCCCACAGCTCTGCACTCACTGCCACGCTGGCAGCTGCCTCGAAGTCCATTGGTGCCACGCTGGCAGCCTCCTCCGCACTCATTGGCTGCAGTGGCTGGGACTGGCCAATCAGGAAGCAGGGCTGGGTCATCGGTGCACTTTCAGGCAGACCAGGCTCTCCCAGAGGACCCCCATCGTGTGCACTCCACCGCTCACCACCGTCTGTCATACCTCTCTGCACCGCACTCACCACTGCCTCGTGGGCCTCTGCACCCACACCACCCTCTCCCATGCCGCCTTCCACCACGCCTTCCGCTCTTCCATCCCCATTCCCAGAAATTATCTCAAAGCCATGTGGTTGTGTCCACTCCTCAAGGCCCTCCTCCTGCCGTTGCTGCTCTTGCTCTTGCGGGTCGGGCTGCTGCTGTTGCTCTTGCACTGGTCGCCACTCCGTGCTGATTCCCCCTTGCTCACAGTATGCCAGGCTCGCCACCCCATCCAGACTGGCGGGCAGCCTCGGCGTCAGGCTCGGATCCAGGTTCGGAAACGGAGGCGAGGGGCTCGGCAGCTCGTCCAGGTCCGGCAGGCGAGCCCAGTCCACCTCGACCTGTTCCCTGGATTCCAAACCTGAGGGCGTCTGCCACTCCAGGCTCGGCAGCAAGTTCGGCGAGACGCCCGAGCCTTGCTCACCACCGCAGGCCAGAGGCATGAGTGGGAGGTCCGAAGTGCCTTCGTCAGTCCACAGTGACTGCATAGAGTGTGCCTGTAACGAGAGATCTGGAGAGCCGCTCCAGTTGGGCAATTCATACAGTTGTGATTCAAACGAGGGGGCCTGTGGGCCTAGAGCTGGTGACTCTAACGAGAGCTCGGCCAGCAGGCTCTTGCTGCTGCTGCCGTCCATGTGAGGGCGTGGTTGCGGTGGGGAGATGGGCGAGGGGAGTGAAGGGGCGGCGAGAGGGAGTGAGGAGGCGGGTGAGGGTGGGGAGGTAGGACGTGCGGGAGGGGGAGAGAGAGGCGCAGGTGCATGCGAACCGGGAGGGGCGCCAGCTTCGCAAGCAGACAGGTCAGCCTGGGACGCAGACACGTCAGCATGGGACGCTGACAGGTCAGCAGCAGCAGGAGGGGGCACAGCAGCAGAGGCGAAAGCAGAAGTCGCGGCGGAGCCCAGAGGCCGTCCCGGCGTTGCTGCTTCCCCTCGCGCCACCTCCGCGCCATCCGCGCCCTCCCTCTGCGCGCCACGCGCGCCCGCCGCCTTGCCGTCGCGCGCGGCCACGTGCGGCGCGTTGGAGCTGCCCTGCCGCGAGAACGGCCTTCGCGCGCGCCGCTTCCCGCCGTCTCCCGCGCCCTGCTGGCCCATCGAAGCCCCCCCATCCGCGGCGGAGCTTCCCGCGGGCGCGACGACCGCCCTTCCCGCCGTGTGAGCCGCGGCTACCGCCTCCCGCAACACCGCCACCTGCCTCGCCGTAATCGCGCCCCCGCCGCTGCGCGCTCTCGCGGACGCCGACATTGACGCCGCCTTTGACGCTCCGCGTTTCCCGCCGCCAATCACTGAGTCCAGCGACCCCTCTTCCGCATCTGCCGAACCGCCGCTGGTCTGCGCGCCGCCCTCAGATCCCGCAGCATTCGCTCCTGCCGTATCCGTCGCCGCAACCGCCGCGTCCGCAGGGCCTCGCTGGAAGCAGCTCTGCGCGCTCGGAGTAGGCGGCTCGCTGGTGGTTGCTTCCTGCCCGAGGCTGAAGCTCTGGCTCCGGCCGGACGTGGTAGGTTGTTGCTCAGGGCTGGAAGCAGGTTCGGAGGCACTGAACGTGGGGTCAAGAAAGCTCCAAAGCTCTCCGAGCGTTTGGCGAAAGATGGGCGCTGGCGAAGGCAGTAGCGAACGTCGCTGCACCAACATTTTAACCAGAGGCTGCCCGACAACAACATCTGTCTTCTGTTTCGCGCCGCGATTGGCGCGTGGGCTTTCAAGATTCATCGGCGCGGGAGTCTGCGCCGCGAGGCTGGCCGAATCCCCGCCGCGCTTGCGCTGCGCAGTTAGTCCGCCGCGCGGGAAGGCGGAGGGAGTGGGTGACGAAGGAGCACTCTCAGAGCGATCGCAAGGATCCGAGTCGCTCGCATTGAACACGTCCACTTGCATCCGCTCACCGTCGGTTGCGGCAGTTGACTCGGTCAACGGAGCCTTCTCCTTCTTCCCCCTCGGCCGCTTCGGCTGCTTGCCCGCACCCGCCAACGCCTCACGACGGCGCTTTCTCGCCGTCGCTCCGCTGCCGCCGGTGCCGGCCGCTTTGGCAGGCGGGGAGGAGAGACCGCTGGCGAGTGTGGCGGGGTGAGAAGCGACGATCTGGTTTGAGTCGTTTGCGTAGCTCGCGGCGGCAGTGGCGTTGGCTGCCGGCGGGGAAACGGGCAGCCATTCATCGATCAGGACTGATAGGCTAATATCCGTCATCGTGCCAAGTGGCATCAGTCAGGCCAACGGAATTCTTGTACGATATGGACTGGAATTGGAAAAACCACGGTTCGTATCGCGGCGCGCGCGTGGTGCGCTGGGCATGAGCCCAAGTTGCCTGAATTCGCCCCCAGTACGAGCCGCTATTCGTCACGTTCCTGGAGCTACGATGGCCGCAAATGTAAATTAGTTTATTGCCAGAACGCGTACTAAGTCGAGTGCGGACGATGCAGACTCACACGTGATAGCTCAACATTGGCAAGAATAGCTGCGTCTTCTGTTGGCAGGCCAGAACTCAAGAAGGCGCAGCTTCATCCACGGGGTTTGTGCCTAAGAAGCGACAGCTTGAGAGGCGCTAAGTAAATTATTGGAATGGAATGGGGCTGATTGGCGGACGAGATGAGTCGAGGATGTGAATGAGCGGAAACACTTCGATGGCGGGTGAAAGGAGGTGAGGTGAATCAATGCGGAGGAGGGCGGAAAGCGAACCGCAGATGCGCGGAAGAGGTGCGAGAGGGTATGAGGGGGTGGGTATTTTCTGCTGCCCACCGCCCACTGCCCGTTTTCCGATTCCTCCACACACAACAGGGAGTGCTGGCGTGTACCGAATCCCGATCAGTCCATCCTGAGCTGCCTGCCCGTACGGAAATTAGAATCGAACGCGTCAAACTCGAAGTCAGCCCCCCCTTCGAACCGCATAGCTTGCCCCAGTCCGCCTAAACTCCCGCAACCTGCCCTCGCCCATCCGGCTCAGCCTGTGAGTCATCAACGATGGAGATCCTTGGATGTAGGATATGGTAAATCTCGTCCGTTGCAACGCGTTTTGAATTATTGGTGGTGCAGGAGCGAAAGCCAATGGTGGATCGAGGTGAGCTGACATTGCTCCTGACAAGCTTGCGACATTCTTGGAGCGGGTTACGTCTTCAAGACGACAGTCGCAACCTCAAGTCAAAACGTAGCCATATCACTACAACCGTAACAGTGTCCGAATGAAAACAATCGTGTGCATAACAAATTTGTTTCCATCATATACAGGAGGTGTTTATGCAGCAACTTTATGACCTGGTAATAGAACCATAGGCGCAGTGAGGTTCCATTTTTTTGAATGTAAAGTGAAGACGTGGGTGGAGGCCATAATATTTCCATCCTACCCCAGAGGTGTTACGATATGAAACTTTATGAGAAGGCATTCCTGTATGCTGCAGGGGCCGACTCTAAAGAGTACGAAGCCGATGAGTCAGAAGAGTCAAAGCGACACTGGTAACCGTCTGATCAAGACCGATGCAGGCAGAAACATTCGAAGTGAAAAGAGTGGGAACAGGTTTGAAATGGGTTCCCGCGCCGCACGGTTTGAACTTCGCTGTAATAAGGGAATGTACCCCTTGGAGTACATGGCTAGTCTAGGTCGTTTCGTATTCCTTTGTATTTCCTATATAAACTCGATGTATGCATGCTATTATCATCTCAGTCATTTACATTCACTCTGACCTGAGGTCAACACTTCCGCTGCAAACATTACCCTGCGATCAACCATGAGCAATCCTTCGCTAAGTCCTACTTGGGATTGTAACATGGTATGAGAGCTACTCATGGATTCTTCGCAACTTCACTTCCGTGAAATTCACCGAATCAAGATCTGGCGAGCGGCACACGCTCCAAGACCAAGATGGCCGGAGGATCCGGAGGCCAAACGAATCTGACGGCCGAAGGACAAACCAACCGGGCTGCGACAAATGAGGCGACAACCACGATCAGCACTGCCGCACTCGAGCAATTATTTTCGCGACTATCAACTATGGAGAAAGACCTCCAAGAATTGCGCAAAGGCGATGCGGGAACCTCTTCCCAACCAGCTCAACCTGGACAACCGGCTGCGAAAAGCCGCGATACCGCCGCGCACACCTTCTCCCTCGACACAGACAAATCAACAACAACTGCCCCCCGTCCAAGTGATGAAGTCATTAATTCTGCGCAAGCACGCTTCCTCAGCGTTTCGAAAATTAAGACTACTGCCGCGTTTGACGGCAAGGAGTTTTACACTTGGAGTTTTGAGCTTGAGCTCCTCCTACAAACAGCGCAGATCTATCATTACTTCGACGGCTCCTACGCAAAACCGGTGGAAGACACCGAAGACGCTAGGACTCAGTACTACAGCGAGTCCCTCATGGCGTACAGTGTGCTGCTATGCAACATGACGCCTGCGGAACAACTCAGCATTCGCTCTTACAAAGAGAGCGCCGCTCCAGCTTTGGAAGTCTGGAAGCATCTCGTTGAGGTGTATCAACCGAAGGATTCGGTCACCGCTAGCAGGCTCCTGCAGCAACTCATGGAGACCAAGATGGGGCACGGGGAGAAAGCAAATTCATATATTAACCGCTGTCGGAACGTTCGTGACCAAATCATGAAGCATGGAAGCGCCATTTTGGAGGAGATCTTCGTCAACATCGTCCTCCAAGGACTCGGGCCAGAGTGGAAGCCCTGCAAAGCGCTACTCCGACAACGAGGAATCATCTCTGAAGCCGCGCTATGCGCCGCCCTCCTGACTGAACAGCAGGACATGGATTCGAGCAGGACAAGCTCCGCGCCGCGCCAAGGGGCGCCTCGCCTTCTACACAGACAACCGTGAAGAGCGACGACAGCCAAGGCGCCACTACTGCAAAATCTGCAAAGTCTTCGGACATTCAACGGACCGATGCAAGTTCCGGTCAAACAATCGCCACCCGAATTCCACTCACCACAACAATTGGGTCGGCCGACAAGACGCTCGTCACTTTCAGCCTCAGCAGCAAGCCTCACGCCCTCCTGCACAACACCAACAGCAATAGCAGGCACAAGGATCTCAAGCAGGAGCTCCCAGAAACGCGATCGCCAACATGGCGACAAGACGTCGCCCACGTGCCGCCGAACCAGATGAGGAAGAAGAACTTCGCGGCGAGCTTATTCAACCTGAAGAAGGGTGTAATAATTCCCTCACAGAAGACCACTATTACCGGTATGACGAGGACGAGCAAGATTGGCACCAGCCAATACAACTACGGGAAAGTCCACCCCACAACAATCAGCACTACGTTCCCGTGGGATGGAGAGAAGATGAGTTCTTCGAGAGACGATACAAGGCGACTCTGGTGACACCGAGGCTCGCTCTCCTTCTGCGCAATAACAACGTCGACAACCATAACACCTGGTACCTGGATAGCTGTTGCGGGCAGCACATGGTGGGGTCTGTCCGCTACATCTCGAACATCAGCCGCGCTCCCGCCACCTACGTCACTGTCGCCAACAACGAGCAACTGCGCGCAAATGCGCAAGGCATCGTGGTGTTGCAAGCTCGGGACAGCAACACGCACATCACGTTTAATGACGTGCTCTACGTGCCGGATCTCCGCTTCAACTTATTGTCAGCAGGACAACTCAGAGACTGCGGAGTAATGCTCGCCACGAATCCCTACACATGCGACCTCATCTTCACCTACGCCCCTCCGGACACACCCGTCGAATCGCACAAATACCTCGGAAGAGCCCGCTCGCTCAACGGCATTTACGTAATCGACTTCGATATCCCCAACTGCCAGGCATCATCCGACGAGCTCGTGGACCTCGTCCCCCTGGATTTTCCATACATGAGCGTGGAATCATGGCAGCATCCGGACGGACGACCGTGGATACGCCGCAGCCCCCACCCTGAAGAAATCAATCTTCATCAACCCAGCCCTGACGGCATCTGCACCACATGCTTCACACCAACGGCAAGCCGCACAGAAGAAATTGAAAAGGATCTCGCGACGATTCAAGAGGCGGAAAGCGCCGAGGCGGAACCTACGGGTATGGCGGAAATAGAGCTCGCTATCACTACTCACCGCATCTTCGGCGAAGAAAATGAAAAGTTTGGACAACGACAGCAAGAGCGCCCAACGCCCCGCGCAGAAACCCTCCGCTGGGTCTTAGAAGCAAACATCGGAACCTTCGACGAAGAAGGACGCCCGCGCCCCTATCCTCGCGAAATCTACCGCCACATCGACACGGCGTGGAAGGATCCTGACGCAAAAGAGGAGATGAACGTCCAAGAGGAGGAAGACAAGGCAAAGGCAGAGAAGAAGCAGAAACTGTATGAGGAGCGCGTAGCGGCAGGATGGGACGAGGAGTCAGCACGACGTGGCGCATGGGGAGACGACGACTACACACCAGAGGATGGTGCAACATGGGGATCCGCAACTGGCGCATCCGGCACCGTGCGAGGTTGGGGAACAGGCGGATGGGGCGATGCAGGAGGATGGGGAGGAGACGAATACACGGATGCCCCGCTCACCAAAGAAGAAGAATAGGAGATAGAACGCGAAATAGCTGCAGAACTCGGAGAGCGATCACCCCGCGTCCCTATCCCACTCGGACGTCGCCCGCGCAACATTCCTTCACCACCCCACTCACCCTCACGCTGGTCGGATCCTTGGTTGGAGATTGAGGAGGGGAATGTCCCTGCCACTCCACCACGAGAATCACTTGGGCCAATCTCTCGCCCAGACCCCTTCGCACGATTGATCGAAGGTACGCGGACTCCTCTCAACATCATTCCCGATCGCAACTTCCTCACCCTCTACCTCACGACGGCACCTGCAGAAGGGGAGACAGAAGCAGAAGCAGAAGCAGAGGAGCCGGACAACGAAGCAGAACCAGGAGGGAAGAAGGACCAGTGCCCCAAATCCCCCACGTGACAGAAGCAGAGGCCGCAGAACATCATGCTCGTTACCTGCGTACCTCCGGAATCCGCGCAGATGACGACCTCTGGCATCAGCGACTTGGTCACCCCTCGCGCCAGACGCTCAACAACTGTCTCCGCGCCAAAGTCTTCCTACCAGGAGCACTGCTGCGCCCTGACGGCACGGAACCGCTCAGCACATCACACCCAACCACCTGCACTATCTGTCCCACTGCCGCCCTCACGCACCAAGCCTACCCCTCCCTGGAGCCAAGCACCAACCGCTACAAGAAATTACAGAAAGTCT